ATGTTGTCATGGTGAGATAAATTATCTTGACAAGTCGACATAGTAAAAATGTTATGTTGTCTTGGCGAGATAGGTTATCTTGACAAGTCGACATAATAAAAGTTATGTTGTCATGACAAGATACAATTATTGTCAAGATAATCTATCTCGCCATGTCGACATGATATGTATATTATGTCGACTTGACAACATAATTATCTTGACAAGTCAAGTCGAATGGCACTTAGGTGCTTCCGTAACTCAAGGTTCATCAAATTTAAAAAGAAGTTGATCACGTTCATGGTTATAGTGTAAATGTAAACACCTACATTTACTTCAGCGCCCCCTTAGTGTCTCTTGTGAGCCAATAAAAATTGCAGAGTAGTAAACTTACAATAATCATTATTTAGATTGAATGTGTAAAATGGAGTGGAACTATTTGAAATGATCGCATCAGACACCTCCTACGCACATATTTTTTTTTTGTATAGGCCTATTGTACATTGATGAAATCTAGAACTCAAGGTTCATCAAAATTAAAATTCTCCCCGTCGGGGAGAGCTGCCCCCCCCCCCGTCGGGGAGAAAAAGCACAATTCGTCGGGGAGAAAAAAAATGTATATGTATTTTCTACATATCAGTAGACTCTAAAATCGATTATTATAAGCCTTTGAAACCCCTAAATTGTCACAATTTTCGGACCACTTTCCAAACCTTTTAATCGAAGCTCGACCACGCCCAATTTCCTTTCGTCGGGGAAATCTGTCTAGATGGTGGGGGAAAAAAAGAAACGCCACCCCCCCCACCCCGTCGGGCAAATCCTGGCGCCACCCCTGAATAGGGGCCTAATGCAGTTCCGTACTGCAGGGGCCTGAAGGCACACATGTTTTATATTTTGGTCGAATTACGTATGAACTTTTATACCAGACAATTAACGGTAGTTTTGGGGCAACATACCGTATACCGCAAAACATCGAATAGAAGCCCAATGGGCTTAAAATTTCGAGAAGCCCATCTCGAATTGAAGCCCCCTCTTTAGTTTGCAAAAGTAGCCTCGAAAAGAAGCCCATGGGCTTTTTTTTCCCAAGATAGTACAGTACATACACTGTACATGAATTTCAAAGAAACAAAATAAATTTAAAACACATTTGGTTTATACAGTAGTTAAGGTGATTTAATGCCAGGCACTCCATGATACATGTTACAGTGGCCTACTTATTGTTTTATGTAGTAAATTCCCAAAATTTACAGAATTCATTTTGAAAAGAACCCCCCCCCCCCCCTCTTAAATTTGCAAAAGTAGCCTCGAAAAGAAGTCCATTTTAAAAAGTAAAGAGGGGCGCAAAAAAAATGGGGACTTCAATTTGATATTTTACGGAATACTGTACAGTTACAATACAATTTTGAAGCTAGTAACAAGAATTATGGACATAAATAATATAATGTTCTCTACTGTATAACAAAACTATTAAAAATAATAAATACATCATGCAAAAAAACCAAACAACTGTTATTATAATAATAACAATAATAATAATAATAATAATTATTATTATTATATTAAACCTTCTGTCTTATCAACATTTAAAATAAATATCAAATATACAGGTGTAGTCAATGCCAGAATTTAATTCTAAACAAGAGAAAAACACAATAAGAATCAGTTACAAACATTATTTTATTAAAATGAGCACATAAAAATTGTTAACACAATTTAAAAACAAATAACGGCAAAGTTATGGATACAAAAATCAATGTTTTGTTAATGAATACAGGAAACCAGAAATATAAAATACTATGTGACACCAGGGAGTTGTATAACAACTCCCTGGTCACACACAAAGTAAAAATATTGTTTAGAAAATTCACATAAAAAATGAATATATTGTGCATAAAACACCAGTTTAATTTCATACCATAACATGTTGAAAAATAACTGAACGCTATAATACAGAAGCTTATAGTGACCTTCCAGATGTCTAGATAATTATCTCGTCATGTCTACATCTGTAAGGTCACTATAAGCTTCCGTACTATAAAGTTTAGCCAGAATATTATAAACTGGAATGTCTGAGTATGAGGATGTATTCAAGTTCTACCTATTTGGAAGTTTCTAGCAACTTAAATAGAGGTCTCCATCCAATTAAAGACCACTTTGGGGGCGATATTTCCATGGTATTTAGCAGCTTTGGTCTCTAATTAGAATAATAAAGATAAAAGACATTTGTTAATATGGGACCACAGAAAAAGGAACTCAAATATAGTAAAACAGAGAAAGACTTAATTACTTATTTCAATACATAGCACCGTTAATGGTTGTAGAACTTAGCAAAGTATAACTGTTCTCAAACATACACAGCAAATATACAGTATCTTCGAAAATAATATTAGCAAGGTGATTAATACTGTATTCAAAATGTAAAATAATTCCTTGAAAGTGTGCTATTGTACATTAATTTAAAACAACACTATTTTTTCACTGTAAAAAACTTTTTTTTGTGATAATTCTTATTATAGTAATTCATATTATGTTATTAACTATGTTCTTTCATAAACATATTTTCATATCTTCTAAACTCTCCTACAACCACACACCAGCCTGACCATAAGTGGACACTCCTTTGTAATGGAAGGGAGTTTATATTTCCATATACTGATGAACGGCCGCCTAAGTTTTCATATATAGTACTTCAATAGGGAACATATATTTTATACAGTGTTGGGTGATTATTCCAAGCATGGGTACTTGCCCTCTAACAAAGTAAACAAATATCTAAAATTCTAGTAAACTTGTCTTAAGAAAGAATAGTAATACCAAGGTGGTTAATAATACTGCATTTTTAAATGTGAAAATATACTGTGAAAGAACATAATGTTTTCTGGTACTTAAATTAAAAATGTCTGAATAATAATAATAATAATAATATTTATTTGGAAAAAGCTTTTTTAACAGCAACACACATCACAACAATAATACAACCACAGTAAAACTACAACAATCAAAATCAATATTCAATCTGTAAAAATCTTTGACCTTTTTGACTGAATAATAATAATAATATTTATTTGGAAAATGCTTTTTTAACAGCAACACACATCACAACAATTATGCAACCACAGTAAAACTACAACAATCAAAATCAATATTCAATCTGTAAAAACCTTTGACCTTTTTGACTTAATATTACTGTACTGTATTCACATTATATTGACCTATTGACCCTGTATTTCTATATGAACACATTTTTATAATATATTCATGTACGGAAATTTTGAATTATATAGGCATACATAGTTACGTGTATACTGTATTCATACAAGTGGCTTCATATATGTAGAGACATTTCATACATTCATATATGAACACTTTATATGGCAATATATAGTTTTTATATATTCACATTTGACACTGTGAATTTGAAACTTTGCATTATATAGGCCTACATAGTTATGTATATACTGTATACATAAATGTGGCTTCATATATGCAGACATTTTATACATTCACACATGAACACTTTATATGGCAATCTATGGATTTTTTTTATATATTCACCTATGGACAGTTTGCATTATATAGGCCTACATACAGTAGTTTTTTGTATACAGTATTCATAAATTTGGCTTCATATATGTAGACATTTCATACATTAATATGAACAATGAATATGGCAATATATAGTTTTTATATATTCACATATGATACTTTGCATTATATAGGCCTACATAGTTATGTATTTACTGTATCCATGTATATGGCTTCATTTGTGTAGACATTTCATACATTTATACATAAACACTTTATATGGCAATCTATGGAGTTTTTTGTATACCCAGGTACATATTTTCATCACTGTGTTTCTTAGATATTGTTACTATCAAGTACAAAAATGTCTTAAATTCTTCCTTAACAACAATTGTATTTGAATTAAATGTTTCTTACAATAAAACAGTTTAGTAATGCTGAAGCAATAGCAGAAAACGACTTCAGAGCAAAAAACAGTGCAGCATAATTCATTGTTTTTCTACAGATTAAAAAAAATCAAACCTATATACAGAGTAACTAATTATGTCTCTAAACACTCCCAATAGTAAAATAAGTTTATCAATGCACTGAATTAATCATTTCACAAGCCTCTTAAAAAATCTATCTAATGTTTAATATTGTCAAATAAAAAATAATCATAATCAACGCAAACATCAATTTGGTATAAAATAAAAAAAAAAGTTTACAAAAAAAAAGAAAAATATCACAACCAGTCCAAGTCATAACATAAACAAAATGTAAGAAACTCTAAAACATAAAGAACAATCAATAAAGATCAAACACACATCATTTGTTTCTAAGTGCCCTATAATGCTATTTACGAATATGTTATGTAATGAAAAGTGTTGTAATGTTACTAAATGGAATGAATGAAAAAATTAGTGTGTTGGAGTGAGGGGAAATCCAGGTGAGTAGAGGGGGCAGGGAATTCAGGTAGGTGGGATGAGATTTCACAAATTACTGTAATGTGGAAGCAGAATGCACAAGAGTTGGGACTCAGACTTTCAACTTTGAGGTCAGGGGTTCGAAACCATTGCTGTGCAAGATGGAAAAGAAAATAAAAATACAATTTTGTTTTCTTTAAGCAAAGAGTTTTGATAAAAACATCCACATGGAGGAAAAACTAAACATAAATTTGTATTGGTGAATGCAAACAGTGTAGCAATAGGATTAAATAATTTAAATTTATATAATTAGGAAGAAACATACATATCTTATTTTTTGGAGATTTCAAGGCAGCGGCGGGCATAACCAAATTTTTAAAAAACTTTCGTCTTTTTCTGAAATTGATATTTTTTTCATGGCGGTGGGTAAGCTAATTGGCCAAAAATAAAATGTTATTTTTATTCAAAATTATCATTATTGGCAGGTGGTGGGTTCACTAAACAAGGTATGAAAAGAGCCTCGCCCTATGGGATTGTGCTCCACAGCTGAGGATGTGTTCCAGGTGATTGAGCCAGTAATGGGGGTAACAATGTAAAGCGAATAGAGGCAGTGTATTGAAATATCCACTATACAGAATAAATGTCACATTATACTATCAATGAAAGCAAGAAATTATGGAAAGAAAATGGAACATAACATTTAAATGCTATTATTTAAGGCACCTTAATGGAAGACACTGATATGGCATATATGTTGGCAGTTGTTTTATAATTTTTCTTTAATAACAGTGACTTTCTGTCCCTCCATGACCGAAACCTTTAAAGAAAAAAAAAGGAAATACCACTGGTATTAAATTCAAAATTGATAAACATGTTTATGCCAAAATTTAAAAAAATGCCGATTTATAGAAAATTTAACGGTAGCATATTTAAGCAAAATTAAATGAGTATTGCAGTGCACCTGAGAAAAAGTGTTTACCTTGTGTTGAAATGAAAATGATTATTAACAATAGTATTTTAACAAAGGGTAAGATTCTGTTAGTTTAGTGCTCATGAAATTATAATTCATACTGCTATAAAATATAATATATTATTCTTTTTACTTATAAAGCTCATTGATCACTTTATGGATTTTGTATAAAATCTTGAATATTCAAAGCTGTCAGAAATACACTGTGATGTTATTTTTAATTAATATTAAAAATATTGATTCTCTTCATGAATTTTGTATAAAATTTTCCATGCAGTCATAAATTTATTATTATTTTTAGTTACAAAACTGCACTTACCTTTTGTATATCATATAAAATTATTTTTAAAGCTGTCATAGATATAATATCATTTTTACTTACAAAACTGCACATACTTTGCATATATTGTTTAAATTTATTTTCAAAGCACTGAGTCATAAATATTATTTTTACTTGATATAAAACTTTTTGCTTACTTTATTTATTTTGAATAAAATTATTTTCTATGCAGTCATAACATACAATATTATTTACTTAAAAAACGTATTGCATATTGGGCCAACAAAAAAAATTCTTGTATTGGCCACGATTTGGGAATATCCAAAAAAAATGGTAGGTCGATGGGAAATTTTTTTTTTTTTAACCAATAATGTGTTTATGCCTAAAAAGTAGAAAATATACAAAAATACAACAAAGACCATTTTAAAATCTATATTGAAGATGAAAATGATGACATAACACTGTCAAATTGCCTACCGTCCAGCAAGATAGGCCTATTCCAGCCTTTTTAGCTCATTAAAAAATATTTTTCATTGTAGTGAAAAAAAAATTAAAATGCTGAACCTCAATTTCTTACATTTTTGTTCGGTTGAGTGTGGCCAACACAATAATTTTTTTTATTTGGCCTTATTATAATCTTAAGGGTTAACCTTACGATTATTGGTCACTTTATGGATTTTCTATAAAATAATGTACTTTCAAAGCAGTCAAATATTTTTACGTAATATAAAACTTACAATACTTATTGATTTTGTATAAAATCATTTTTCATGCAGTCATAAAATATTATTATTATTACTTACAAAATTTATTGCTTACTTTATGGATTTAATATAAAATTATTTTCCATGCTGTCATAAATATAATATTATCTTGACTTACAAAACTTATTGCTTAAGTTTCTGTATTTTGTATACAATCATTATATTATTCATGCTTTCATAATAATATTCTTACATATAAAATGTTTTGCTTTATGGTCCTGTAAATCGCATTTCAAAAATTACCTACCTTTTGGTCCGAACAAAGCAGAATAACAAGGCATGTTACAGTACGGCTTCCCTTCGTGCTATGAGATAAAAGAAAAACAAATATGAAAGTGAGAGACACTTGTAAACAAACAAGTTTAACATGAGAGGTTGGATAACAACCGATAACACTATGAACTTTTTTTGGCTAATTCACTAACCTAAAAATGATCAACGAAGCTGATCGACTTGTAGTAAGAAGTGGTATTGTATGTTTAAAATATACTGTTTGACTTATAAACTAATTCCTCCATGGGCTTAGTAAAAAAAAACTTAAAATTGAAATGGGTTGAGGCGAACGTTTAAAATACATACTGCTTTGGAGAGATGAACATTAACATTTCTTATTTTGTATTTTGAAGTGTTGTGCTTTTAATTAAAAATGAAAACAGATTTTTTTTTTTTCATTGCATTTTATTCACTTTAATTGCCAAATTACAAATATATGTCTTATTTGTTGTGGTTAGCTAACTTCCCGGCTAATCATACTTATACTGACCTCTGCATGTTGACCAGAGTTGAGAACTTTATTACATCTGTTGCATCTTAAACATCCTCTGTGCCAATCTCTCCCAAGTGAGGTTTTCTTTTCCGCTGCAAATAAATTTACTATACATTCAATCATTTTATTTTTCAACTGGTAATAATTTTAGAAACTGTGGCGTTAACTAGGCCCTAATTGTATTAAATCCAGGCATAGGGCCTAGGTAGCATTGGTGTATCCAAGGCGGGGGAGGGGGCGTGGGGGCGCACCTCCCCACAAAAAGCTTGCGCCCCCCCCCCTATTCGCAAAACTTCGAAGCAAAAAAAAATAGGCTAGGCTTATGCTTATGCTGTCACGGTTAACTTGTATTAGGGAATCTAAGAAGCAATATTTTTCAGTGGGTGTGGCCACCGAAAATAAATTCCACGCCCCCCTCATATTTTGGTCGCGCCCCCGCCCCCATTTTTATACTGTTAGATACGCCACTGCTAGGTAGATCCAGAATTTGAAAAAAAAAAGTAGGGTGGTAGGTAGTTTCAGTTGGGCATGCATGGGCCAAGCAAGCCAAGCAAGGAAGGTGTGGACACACCACCACGAAAGAAAAAAAGTTTTATAGGCCCTAAATAAGTGGGATGGGTTATACATAATAAGTGGGGTGGGTTATACATAAAAAAAAGACCATCGACTTTGGACTTTTCATTAGAATAGGTCAAAAAGTCTAACGATTAAGTAATGTCCCCTTCTCTGATATGACACAAAGAAATTGATTATCTGATTTTTATAAATTTAAATTGTAAAAAGTAGGTAGGCCTAGCCTACATCTGAGCCTACACTTTACGCGTGGCTAGCCTAAACAAACCACCAGATGTCTCACTACTAGGGGACCGAGTCAGTTGCCTCCTACTATAGTATTTTGATTAGATTTTCAGGCTCATCATTCATCAATGAGTATTTTCAAAAAATGATACTAAAAACCAAAATCTTACCAAAGTAAACAGGTTTCTCACACATAGGACAATTAGGCATTGTCTGGCTACCTAAATTACACAAAACTAGACCTAGTTAAAAAAACAAACAAATATCAACACTCGTCCTTTCTTGATCTTGGCTAGGCCCACCGTCTTAATACCAAAACCAGCATCTCTGCGTAAACAAAGCACCAGGGTGGTCTTTGCAGGGTACCGGATACGCATGATGTTTTGGTTAGCGCCAATTTATGATAAAGCGCCCTCTATAACTATTTATTTTTCCACTTTTTTTGCCTTAAATCTCATATCATGGCTACCGTCTCCTACCCGCATCTCATACTCTTTTTACCCTCTTTTTTGGGAAGATAGTATAAACTGTTTAAAACAACTGTATCAAAGAAGGTTGTATTATTTAGATGTGTATAAGAGACAGCTACATTGAAGCATCGATTTTAATGAACAACCAATTTTCGGGAGCTCCTGCTCCCCTCTTCAGGTTTACAATTGAAATGACTCAAAACACTTAATGTCTAGTTAAAGCAGCATAGACCTTGATGTATATGATGCACATTAACATTCGGCATAAACAAAGTACAAATTAATAGAAATTGAGAGATTAGAATGGTGAGAAAGAAAGTTTAATTAGTATCAATTTGACTCACCACCCCCTCACCCCCCCCCTTTCTGCTTCTAGAAGGGTTCCTTTTGATTGCAATGGAATAAGTCAGAAAATTAGAATTTTAATACTGTACATGTACACTCCGAGTGTAAACATTGTTTTCAAATATTAAAATTAAAACTGGATGTTTAGTTAAAAAAGGCCAACAATAATTTTGCAAAATTTAATATGTCTAAAAATGTAACAATTTATTACTGTACTTTCTAGATAGTTCGATGGCCTGATTTTCCTAGGCCTGATATTTCTACCTTGTTACGTTTACCACAGATTGCGGCATGCTGAAGCACGGCCTAGGCCTACACACCGAAGCTGGTGGGCAGTCCAAATCTGCCAACAAAGCAACATTCAATCAATATAGGCCTACTAAGATCTACCTTTAACTGTAACCTGCAGATCTGGTTGTGAAGACGGAACTTCTACTGTGATTTGAACGAACGAACGAACGAACCACAGAGTAGGCCTATTTTCCGTCTTCAAGATACTATCTATGAATTGAATTCATTCTATAATTTTTCTGAACATCATTTAGCATGTTCTTTGCCAATGCCAATCGTTTATGCAGCCCATATTACACCTCGAACACTATAGCAACGTCACTGCCCCCATCTAATAAAGACAAACCAACTTCAAAATTAAGCAGTTGTCAATTCTTATAAAATCATGCAGCATAATATTTGATGTGAAAGAAGGGAGATGATACTTTCTACCACAATACATATACCCGTATGAGAGCATGACAGACAAATAAAATAAACAATGACAGAAAATTAATTCTTGAATTTTGTGATCAAATGTGTTCAGAAGATTGTTCCACAGGAATGAAACAATGCAATAAAAAAAAAAGAAAGGAAAAGAAAAAACACTGATACTCTGTCAAAGTTGATGGAATTGGATCGAAAAGTGCTAATGGCTGTTAGAGTGTGTATTATCCCCAGGGCATTTCAAATTAGGCCTATTGAACTTTCAGTATTAGAAACTGATTTACAACATTGTTCTAAACTGTTGAGTGTTGAATTTTTTCAATCATTTTGTTTTTTACCACTTCTCCTGTTATAAATTTGAAAGAAGTCCTTAGGAAGACGGCTTTACTCATAAGACGACCAAAATTCCTTGTTAGACCATTGCTAGCGAATTTACTGGGTTTACATTTTCACTATTAAACAGATTTAATTCTAAACACTTATGAAAGTCCCTGCTTTATTATTGTACCGTAACCGATAAACTTTCAGGAGTTGGAATGCTCGATAAAGGAACTTTTTGAACGGTGGCGGCGCAATTACATGTTTGTGTTTTTGTTTCGTACGTGTGTGTTCTGTGGTGTGTCGACGATGCGATTTGATTGATTATTGGGGACAAAAGAGTCTCTTTTTGCCAGTGTACAACATTTATTTCATGTTGAGTGAGCTTAGAATACTGATGTTCTACTGTTGCTCTTGGATCTCAGATGGAAAGCAAGTGACTTAGACGCTCGCTTTAGTAACTATCGTTATTGTCTATACTGTTGAAGTTGATCTTTAAACGTAAGTCGGAAGTGCGAAAACAATCCTGTTTTTTAACCACACTACTAGGATTCGTAAATCCCTCCCACGTCCAGGCGTCGCCGAAGTAGTGGGTTCATTCACATTCTTGTCTAGCTAGCCTACCTAGCCTAGGATTTTGGTTCTTTGGGTATGAATCTAAATCTAACCTTTATCGGTAAATAAATAATTACTTATAGAGCACTGTTGAGATCTACGTACGACTAGGCCTAGTTTGGGAAGGAATCAGAATTAGATGGTTTGAAATAGAGTTTTGGGATTTAAAACATTTTTTGGGGGTTAAAAAGTGAGGGTCTGTCTGTAGCTACAGTAGGCAAAGCCTCGCCCTATATTGTAAGCCGTCTATACTTTTCAGAATACTAAAAAAGAGACCTACCAACTCTGCTTTACCTTTACATACAAAGACCTAGGCAGGGAAAATAAATGATCTGATTCTCATAAATGCTCACATATGGTTGGTGTGAGCCCATGCAACTGTATCAAAGAAGGTTGTATTATTTTTAACATTCTTCAATAGAGAGAACACAACTGACAAACAATATATTGGTTTTCTTTTTATGCAGACGTCATTCACCTCAATCGCACACAAGTCGTTGCTCATGTCAGCATATTTTGTTGCAAGCATGTGCTTCATCGAATGACGAGACTATTTCCTATTTTATGGTTGATTAATTTTGCGTTCATTCGTTGTGTTTCCTATCCAAAAGAAATGTAAACCAAAATTATTCACCAGTTCCTGGAGATGCAGTATGAGAATGATCATCTACTACAGTATTCCTCCTGTTTTGGAAATTTTTTATGTTATAATGTTGTAGTTAGTGTAGAGTTTCAATTGGTGTGTAGAGTTTCAATTGGTGTTTAAAGTTATACATGTAGTTAAAACTTATGGTGTCAATTTTCATAACCTTAGTTTTTATTTCAATCAATAAAATTATATGAAGTATATGTTTGCTGTAGATGAGTATGTACACAATTCATACATGTAACTATACAGTATACAAAAGTAAACCTTTATCAATTTAATTTCTTTAAATTTTTTTACATTTTTTTTTCCAGAATAAGCAAAGTTGATTTTGCTTTGCTAATTGTGCGAACACCAGCTGCATACCGGGCCAGGTTACAAGATGTCCGGTCGTACTAAATCCAAAAAGAAATCGTTTCTCTCAAAGTTCCCATCATTCCGTAAGAAGAAGTCATCTTCGTTATCCCCAGATAAAGATGCTAATGCAAATCCCCAGATTCCACCCCACCCTGACTTTGCCACTGATGATAACGATACCTTCACTCAACCGACAACACTAAATTTAAATACTCAGGAAATAACGCGAGTTGATAATCCTAATTTCAAGGTTCCGCCGGTTCCTGCAGCATATCCAAGCACAACTTCGCAAACTGCAAAACGTCCCAATGCTACGGATGAATATCAGGTCGGATCTGTCGCTAAGCGTCTGAATAGTAAAAGCAAAGAAAATGGGTTGGAATATTCTGACACGGACTGTACCATTATTGTGAATGCATCACTACAGAGTGGGCAAACAGGAAATACGAATCAAGATTTACGATCTGCGTTTTTTGGAACCACATCCTCTAGTAGTGGAGTACGGGAGAATGGTGAAATTTTAAATGATTCGTCGAGCAAAGCGACTGTAAATACTGACCTACAAAAAACGTTCCAAACATCACTTGACATTTCAGCCCCTGTGGTTTCATCAGATAAGAATATTGCTTCAAATAAACAATCTGTTGTTACAGAGCCGCATACTGTTGATCATGTGTTGTGTCTTGAGAAGGAAACGTATAACAAAGATCCTTGGCAACATAAGAGCGACATTGGAAGTTCTGAAAAAAATAAAAACACTGTTTGGCTTTCAAAAGGCAATACCGTAAAGTCACCCAGCTGTCAAGATACTCCACATTCCATGAGGGGAAAAGTATCTAGTAAAACACCCTCACCCTCTCTGTCGCAGAATGAAACATTCGTCAAAGATTATCCAGTACTTGATCCATTAAACACAAGCGCAATATCTGTTAGCAAAGACTCGCATAATTTGAACAATACTTACTTATTAGACAAAGAACTCGAAAACAAAAATAGATCAAATTACCCTGTTAATACGGCTCACGAAGTCGGCGTTACTGGGAAGGGAGATGCTTGTTCGCAAGCTGCCTACAAAGCTCTGAAAAAAACTGATTTGAATATTGAGGAAATTGAATTACAGAAACCTTCTATAGGAAGTTCAGCTCAGCAAAGTCAAGCTAGTTTGAACAAAACATTCGAGAGCAGTCGTACGATAACCACAGGTCAGGAGAGGCTCACACAGCCGTCTCCACAAGTCAGTAACAACCAGGTCCGTAAAGCCCGTTATGAATCTCAGAGCCAATCTGATTCGAGCCAGACCAGTGCATCGCATCTAAGCTCTGCCAGCACAGTCCCAACGCAGTCCACCCCGGCTAAAGAAATGCCTCTGTCCTCGGTGCGTCATCCGCAGCTTAGCGCCGTCAAAGGGCTGTTTCGCTCAATGTCGGTTGAGTCAACTGAGATGGATTCGCTTGCGTCCGATGATCTTATGTGCGATTCACGTTTTATGGATGATGAGATGATAGGTTTTGATGAGGAATCCTTCCTGAACGGCATGGCGGATGGTCCAAAGAGCTCAATTTTACAAACAAGGCTTGCACGTTATGGCAGAATAAGATCACAGAGCTTTGAAGTGTCTTCAAAGAATGAAGAGAGGTAAATGTAATATTTTTATTTTTTTCTCACTCCACAATTTTTACAGATGTTTTAAAAGAACAGTGATGGGACAGTTACAGTATTGCACCCCATTCTACAGTAGATAGCCAGCTCCTGTATGCCCTCTGAGTTTGTAATATTTTTTTATGGTGTATTATTTCCTACAGATTTGCATCATTGCTCATGTAGTACAGTAGTTTGAAATTGTAGTTAGTTTTTTTGTTTTTTTTATTACGAATAGAGATAGTGTTAATCATGTTATAACTGTTTGTTTTGATAAGCTTTTTTTTATCTTTCTTTTTCCATGTTAATGAGACTTTGAAAAATACAGTACATGCTAAATTTAACCTAAGTGACATAATGTATTTTTATTATTATTTTACTATTGTTGTTGTTGTTGTTGTTGTTGTTGTTGTTGTTGTTGTTGTTGTTGTTTGTGTTTTTTTTAAATTATTTTCATTGTTAATATTCTTATTGAAATTCTTTTAAATATATTTTTTGAATTCTTATTTTATTATCAACTAAGAACAATAATTGTCCATTAACATTTAAATTGAACTATATCTGCAAAATCTCTAATCATTAATATTTCTGGTTTAAGATTTATGATTTAATTAATTAAATATTTATGGCAGTGAAAAGGAAAGTGAATACAGTAGATTCAATCATTAAAGCTTCAGTGGGAATTTGAAAGATCATAAGCCCATTGTGTCTGAGAGTGAGCCAGGGGGTAGATGGTGCTGGACTGACCTGGATCAGTGTATTTAGCAGAGCACCTGCTGATCACTATTAGGCCTACCACTTATGCATGATTGATTGATTGCAAGGTGTGGTTAATTTTAGCACTGGTTGTCTTCTGTATGAGTTCTAGGCAAACTTTGTGGCCTGGTTCACATAACATTTTGATCCTGATAGGAAGTTAAGCATTACATACTGTGTTTGTGTTAACGCATTACTGTGCAACCGTAAACCTAATTTATTATAAGGTACAGAATGGCAACGCATTCAGTGTCAAACAATGGAAAATATTAATAATGATTGATCATTGTATGATGACGATTATGATGAATGTTAATTTCCCTCATTCATCTTTATCATGCATAGCGTAAAATAGATGTTCGTCAAGCCATCGGTCACTGCATGAGTGTAATGAGAAATTTGAAGCACTTTGCCACTAGTATTTAATATTCTTTGATATAAAAGTCTTGTTGAGAACTGTACAATAGTTGATTCATCATTATCTGACACAGGCAACAGATTACTTAATTAATTTCATTGAATAAGAATATTTACAAACCGTTCAAGCTCTGTAATGTTTTATGCATATCAGTCCAAAATTACGATCTTAGCAATGTTGATTCATTCTGAACGATTTTTTTCCATCACTGTTTTTATCCAATCTTTCTTCCCAATATCCTTTGTGCTTTGCTCCAGGATTTTCTCCTCAAGACTTCAATTGTGTGCCGAATAAAGAGCAATTTATCATTAATCAACTGGAAAATGCAACGTATTGACTTTAAATCAAAGTCCGTCCTGCTTTTTGGCTACGTATTCAAAACATGTGTTTGACATTTTGCCAACTTCTTAAAGATTTTCAAAGAAATGGATAATGTACAATATGTTTTATTGATAAACAACAAAATGTTAAGAGTGAAATGACAGATGAATGGAAATTTGCTATGACTGTGTACAGTAGTATCTGAGTGAAAGATTAATCATGCATTGAATAGAAAATTGGTCATCACAGTAATCCTGTGAATTACGGGTTCAAAGTGCTGAAGAATGGCACACTTACAGTACCTTGCTGTAACCAGTTTCCTCTTGCTTCATTGTCCTTTGCACTTCCTCCCAACCTGACTCCCCCCCTCCCCCTCCTCCCGCTGCTGGCACTGATTGGGGAAAGACAATGGGAGTGACAAAATAATAAACAATAAACTATAACCTCATAATTTATTACTGGTGGATGGCTACATTAATTCTAATAGGTACAGTACATGGATTATATCAAAAATTACAAAAAAAAATGTACAAGAAAGATAATTCAAATACTGTATAGATAATCATGTTTAATGAGCATAAAGAAGTAGATTGAGATGGCTGGAGTACAAACAGTATAAAACAATACTGTATACTAATATAATCTACAAAAAAAAGCATCCATTGTATTGTAATACTGTACACTCCATTGCTGTAGTACTAAAGTTTATTGCTGGTGGCGTTCTTTCAAATGTTTTAACAATTAATTAGACAAGATGCTCAATGAATAATTAAATAATTATCCAATCAATTGACACCGCAACCTGAGACAATGCACACTTGAAACAATTTAACGTCAAATTCATCTGTCCCCTATGCATTATATTTAACACCAAGGCACTATAGACATGCTCTGTTTGAAAATAATTTTATGCAAATATGGCTCTATATTAACTGCAAGCCAACTGTTAAAAACACCATCATCCACTCATCCCACATTGTGTCCAGCTACATAGGCTGATCTTCGTGGCTTCAAATTCTTTAATTCAACAAGGTACCGTGATGGAGTTGGCCCACCTTGCATGTGCCGACAGATGTGCTCTGTAGGGCTTGGCTAGCCAGACCGCATGCTATTAGCATCCAGAATGGCTATGTATGTATGCATTTTGATTACTTTCTCTCCCTGATGGTTCACCATATGGTTTTATCCAAGCGGTGGTTTAACGATGACTTTGTTGGGAGTGATACAGTACTTTCTGTATTTAAAATTACTGCAAGCTGTTAATGAATAGTATCGTAAAGTATAGTATCTTATAATATTATCATGCTTTAAATATTAGCTTCATTACATTCCTAGCATTTAAGGCGAAAATCCCTTCATAATTATTTTTGCTATGAGACTCTTTTTATTCCATTAAATAATGGGATAATTTTTGTAATTCAAAATCAGTAGTTTCATATCTTGTTTCAGTGTTTGATTAAAGAATGATACTATTACTAGCTTGGATCATATTTCACTGGCATGAGAATTTTGATGTTATTGCTGGAAGATTTAATATTTTGATAATTTTCATGGTTATTCTGGATGCATTTCTATGGCGGCAGTGTATAGTTTGGTATTAAGTGATGTAGGCTTACTGTAGGACCATGATGTACATAAAAAAAAATGAGTGCCTTGAACACAAACTTCAGCTGATTTCCGGTGGTGGGGATGGGGTTTGGGGATAAACTGTACCCTAGGAACTACAGTACTTGAAATGAGAGATACTATTTGGTGTAATCATATGTGGTGATGAAATGAAAATGAATGTTTGTCACCTGAATTTAAATGGATTTTGTTGGATGAAGATGAATGTACTGTCAGTAAAGATGATGTAGGTTTGGATAATACTGATAATGGAATTTGTAATGATGATGATGGGGATGGAAATGGGGATATTGGATAATGATATGGATGATAAATACTGTAGTTTTTGTAGATGATGATGAGAATTATGATGACGATGATGGATGATACTTTAATATGAGAAGTTGATGATAATTATAAACAAAGGTGATGTTAATCATAAAAGAGGACGCACCGTGATGCTCAGAGATAATGGTGATGTTGTCGAAGGAAATGACCGAAAAAGTAATAGGAGATAGTGAGAGAGATGGTGATGAGATAGAAGATGGTGATGAAGATATTGTCCATCATTATGGAGATGCTAAGTGGATATTACGACATGATGGTAAGAGATGATAATGCTACAGTATGGGAAAAAAAATGTATGATGATGATGATGGCAGTATGACGTTGATTTTGGGAATGGTGGTGGTCAGACGTCGGTGATTTATTTTGGATGGTGATGGTATAGTGTGAGTGAGTACTTTATGAAACAAAAATGCATTGATTTTGATGCTAAACTATGAAAAATTATAAATATGTACTTTCAAAATATCAATCATGATACAGTATGATCTACTGTATTAAGACAAGCACCGTGCATGTCAAAGTTGATTATAATGTCATGACCTTTTAGATGCTTGCACAACCATGTATGTACAGTACAGTAATAGCACATTGCAAGTTAACTGGATGGAAACCGATTCATTATGATTAACATTCAATGTGTGCAATATTGCTTATATGATGGATCTGCATGATTAAGAAACTTGGGTATAAGCTATCCTATCATATACAACGTCATAGCCAGGATTTTGAAACAGTGCTGGACAATATCAAGGTGGACCCCTTTATGCATAAATTCAAACAATGTGGACCCTTTATATGCAAAAATATGAAAAATCTGGACCCATTTTCTTAAATTTTACCCAATTTAAGCTAAATATGAGAAATCTGGACCCATTTTTCAAAAAGTGGACCCATTTTATGCATAAAATTACATAATTTGGACCTATTTTTAAAAATGTGGACCCATTCTTTGTAGACCTAGAAAAATGTGTGGGACTGTCCCAACTTTCCCAATAGCTAGCTACGGCATTAATCGTATACTTTACTCAGATTGTAACTGTGTAAAGCTTTTATTAATTATTACCTGTCTGTAGTAGGAATCCTAGGACTAGCAATCTATAGTATTCTAATTATTGTCGTCATTATTATGAGGATAGAAACAAGGTGGGGAGATAGCTCTCCCCAACGGGGTCCCTGGCTCCCCCAGCTCCCCGCTAGCGCCATCCCTGCCCAACTCTGCCGCTACATAGGCATATTCAGACCCCACCTTTGGTACCCAGACAGCTGCTTGAGTTCCAGGGCCACCAAAAGCAGTCCTGGATATTGATATCAATACATTTTTTATTTAATAAATTTCCACAAAAATATCTATCTGCAGCTCAGCTGTCGCAATTTAACTTAAAAGTATTTCATTTCCTAATCAGAAAATAAACATGAGCTGATAACTACACAGATACTAACATCCGAAGGTTGTCTCCACTTTCCTTTTATACTCACAACTATGTTTTCCTTTCTAGGGTTGTAGACTCTCGAAGGCTTCGTAGTATCACCATGGGAGCTTCACCGCCCTCTAAAGTTTATGACTCAGCGCAGGGTGGTACTATTCCTGAAGAGCCTCGCGCAAAAGCCAACTTCAATGAAAGGTAAAAATTTAAAATTTCTGAATGAATCACTCAACTAAACTGTGTTCATTTTCATTAGTTTGTTTATTGTCATTAATTTGGTCATGCTTTGAGGCTTTTTTATTGCGTATTATTTGAGCGGTTTGGCACAGTGAAAATAGTTTTTGTTTTACGACCTCAAGGTTTTGGGGTTTCAATCCCTCATTGCATCTAGCCTGGGTCCTTCAACAAGGCATGTTACCTTCTGTACATTGCTTCAGTCTACCTACTGTATGTATGTCAGCAATGGTTGGTACCACTACCAGCAAAGTACTGGGAGTAGCATGGGGCATCTAGCATCCCATCCAGGGCATGTATCACACGCTCAGCCGCTTCATGCTACAGAAACTTGGGATAAGATAGCCATGAGCCTTTAGGGACTCCTAAATCATTTAAATTTCTGCAGTATTACATTACCTGTAAAAGTTCTAGTGTTATTACAATCAGACTTTTACAGCATAAAAAAATGTCAATTCCAGGCATTCTGCCTAAATTCTTAAAAATTTCTTGTCTCAGCCCCCATACCATTGTGGTGCTGTAATGAGTGTGGACCCCATTGGTAACTTTTAACCCTTTGTTATTGAATATGTGGCGCCATTGGTGCACTTGTGTATATAAGCCAACTTATGAGACATGCAGAGTGAAGTTTCATAACATGCGCAGGACAAAATCCTTGAATTTTTGGAGGATTTCAACCTGAGACTTAAAAATTGTAAGCATGAAGGCAAGACTATCTAAGCTACAGTACAGGTATCACTGGTTGAATGCTACAGTAAATAGCCAACCTATGTTCATTCACCTCTACAGTAAACTAAACATGGATAACCAATGACAATGTAGTGAATATTAAAGATTGAAACACAGTAGTTGGCATTAGAGCTACGGATGGGCAGCAAGATATTACATTGTACTTTTTGAATACCTGAACCGATTCTTCGTTAATACTTTAGTTCAAGAGAATATGAACTATTGTGTATACAGTTACTGTATAATGAGATATTATCAAATGTACATTAGGAAAAAAAAATAGTAAAAAAACAGGTAAAGTTTTATTAGCGATTTGATTGCTAATTTTATGGCTAGTAAATATAGTAGGACTACAGGAGGTCTGGTTTTTATCTCATTAAAACATGTTCTCTTTCTTTTATTTGTTTACTTTTTGGTCATTAGCCTTCTTGGTACCAAACACTATTCAGAAATATCCATACTGTACACACTACAGTATTTATAAACCAATTGAAAACCACATAATCAGTGATGCTTGAAAAATAAATCAGATAAATTATAATAAGATGTAATAAAAGTAATGTAATAAAAATATAGTGTATTTTAAAGATTGCATTAGAATTAGCAAGTGCAGTACTACAGTATCTTCAGTTGTAAGGATGGAACAATGTTTTATAAGGTAAATTTCCCTTTATAAAGCTTAACAGGTTCGCTGCCAGTGACAGGTATACTCATCCCACAGGGTGATGTTGAGGGCGCTAGGGACGACTATACTCTTAAAAGCCGGGGTAACATGCTAGCGTTTATTACTTTATTGTTATAGTACATTGTAAAACCACAGACTAAACAGCTGATAGTTTGAGGAGGATACACCTACAGTAGAGTATAACCTAGAGATAACGTGTATGTTTGTTGTGTTATGTTGCCGGCAGTATAAAAGATTGCACAAGTGTGGGCGGCCTCTGAACATATACCTGTACCAAATCATGCAAAAAGAGTACGAAAAAACATGCACTTGGCAGAGACAATAGAATAGAAAGAACTGACCCAGTTTACTCATCTCCTAATATTTTCCCACCAATTTATTAGACACAGCATTTTGATGATACGTGACTTGATAACATTTCAAGAAAGTATGTTTGTGCATGTATTATATACTTGTTTTGGCACAAAACCTAAAAAAATGTTTGGCAGTTAATGTGTATGGAGTTTTTAGTGTGAGAAAAATGTTTATGTCACAGGATTTGAACCCAGGACCCTTGTATTGGAAGGAGCACATCTTAACCACCAAGCTACAGATCCATTCCTAAGTTCACATGTAATTAAAGTATAATTTAATTTAACGATTGAGGACAAATTATGTGCAGCACAGTAGGCCAACAGACAGTCAATAATTACTACTGGCCTGGTGCTACCTTCAGTTTTTTTGTTAGTAAAGGAATGTTTTGATAATTATATTAATATTTAACTAATTAATATTCTGACAGATGTTGTTCTGTCGGTATAGCTCCAATTTGTTTCATTCATACTACATCTAAGCAACAGTGATATTTACCACTTACCATAGGAGCAATATATTTTTGATAAGCACGGATAGTTTCATCTGGTTTTCTGTGATGTATGAAAATGGAAAAAGTCTTGTAAGTAAACCATTAAATATACGTACTGTTTTTAATATAGCTTTGTTATGTATTTTTTTTAAATATTAATAATTTCATCTAGATACACATTCACATTGATGATGTTTTGGCATTTATTTTTTAAAACCTAATAAAAATACAATTAATATAATTTATATTCCACTTTCTATAAGGTTTTTTGTCCTCTACAGGATCTTCCTATCAATCAACAAGCAGAAGTGGTTTGTTCATAAAATTTGTTATTAATGTCAATTTTTCTATGAATAAAGGTGATACGTTAATTATATTTTAATTTATTAATGTACAGTGTTGTAGATCTGCGTAGAAAACATGTTTAAATATTGCTTAATTGATTGAATAGCGGTACTGGGCTCTTCGAAAAACTAAGATTAAATATACAGCATAAAAAAATCTATTCTAGACACATGGATCAGTAGACTGGTTATAATGTACAGCTAGTTTTAAGCAGTTGATATTTAAGCTCCTGCTATCTATTTTAAGAGCTAATCAATATTACTATCGACATCAATACATGCCCTTTAGATCAATGCATGGAACTATGCCCTCTTTTTGTGGTTTTTGCCCTTTTTTGTTTGAAGTCAGTGAGGCTGCCTTATAGTTGTACATCAGGGGATATGACAACCAGTCTGAATCAGTGGAATATCTTGAATAGGAATCTGTTATTTAGTTAAGCTAATAGATCAATATTTTGTCTGAATAATTGATGTGTGAATGTGATTATCAATGTTTCATTACTTGTGTTGGTACTGTGATGCAGGGTTGTAGCTGTAACAAGATGAAGGGTTGGTGGTAGACCTTTCAAGGGTGGGTGATAATACTGTATAACGTCATTAGTAAACTCTATAAAATAAGAGTGGATTTTAAGGATGGGCAACAGGGTTAATAAAGGTTGGTGGAGTACCATGAAATTAGCTTAATATACTGGGTGAAAACTTGAAGGCCTGGTGACCCCACCCACCATAACTACATCCGTGTCTATGTAGTGAAAGTGTGGCACTGTTTGGGTACATGACTTCCAAACCTAAGATTGTGGGTTCAAATTTTCCAGCATCTTTTTAAAGATATAATCCACAAAAATCAATCTCAATGTAGGTAATAATATTATATCTTGAAAAGCATGATTCTCAGATTGAAAAAAAATAAAGGAAAAAAAATCAGTTTCTAAAGATATCGACACAAAAAGGACTGCCACCACAAAATTGAGGTAAACCTAAAAGCTTAAAATACAATTTTTAATTGCTCAGACAGAAACACAGTTATTAAATTCTAGATAAACCTTAAATATACACAGGCACATTAGGTTCAGTTGATAGATAAATACGTATGTGTGAGAATTGACGGCATATCCGCATGAATAACACTCCACAACTAGTGCTGCGGATTACCGGTGATTTTTATATGGAAACCGTCCCTAACACCATCGCTGTCAATCCACTTCTGTGTAAGAGTACATCAAATTCTATAAATGGACGTCATATTTTCATTCTCACCTCTCCGTTTTCTTGCTGTTTAGCCATCGGGAAACATAATTTTTACGTAAATACGGACGATGGATAGAAAACAAACAGTGACATGTGCTATTACAGTAGAATGCATTAGATTCAAATTTATAGCCAGTAGTTTGTGAAACTGTTATTCTTGTTTTTCAGATAACTTTGGATATAGGTTACTGACAGATTTAGTGTGTTTTTAATTGTATTTCTGTAAAGATTTATGGCCTGTGATGAGCGAAAAACCTGATAAAAATATTTCATTTACTTACTTTTTTGGAACGTTATGAGCTTTGAATTAAAAATTAGAATGAGATATTTTTTTTCTCTGCCAATGTAGTGGTAAATTATAGCCTTTCCTAATTTCTTTGTATAGACCCTTAAATTCCAGAGAATCCACTAATTAGTCTTAAATAAAACAAAAAGACCGTAACTCCAAAAAGAGACAGAGACATTTTGAGATTCAACGTTTTGAAAAGAGACAGACATTTTGAATCTCAAAATGTCTCTGTCTCTTTTCGAAGTTACTGTCTTTTTGTTTTATTTAAGACCCTTATATTGGTTGGTAAATTCAAAGAGTATAGAATTGGAAGATGTCCGACTACCCTGATTTTGTATGCACACAATGGAATGTTAATAAAAATTACCACTATGAGACAGGGTGCGCCTCATTAGAAGTTAATAAGAGCTCGCTTTTAAGGACACACCCTGTTTGCGGCAGTACTTTTTGAAATAGGATTACATTCAAACAAAACCATGTCAGTTGGCCTCTTTGGTAAATTATAAGGAATTTGTTGTAAGGATCTGTCAATCTCTGTCCACACTGTTTATGTGAGAAATTTGTGTGACATGCACATACTATATATGGTCATGATGATGATGTCATTACATCCAAGTATGAGCATATTACATTATTGTCACATAAAATGTTGATCTTTGGTTTCAGAAGTACCTAATTTCTCGAGGTTGGCCTCTAGCTGAGTGTTAATATGCAATTATCTGGAAAATTACACAGCAATTGCGTACTTCTCGAATTCATCCTATTTCTCATTCATCCTATTTCTCATTAAAGATTATGGAAGGGAGATTTTTTTTATAATAATAAATCAGATATGATTGAACCCATGATTTTTGGGATTACTGTAAATGTTGGCACCATGACCAGAAGACCACAATATTTTATTTTTTCATTATTAATGCTCTATTTTAAAATATCAATTTAACCGACTTAGACATAACTAATTTCAGTATCACTGACTCATACCATTGTCATGTTGTGAATATGATCCTGTTGACTAAATTGCTTGTAAATTATGCTTTAAGGGGCAATTAAATCCAAATGTTTGTGACTTTCTGTCTGTTTTCTCAGGCTACAATGTCAGAAGATCACATTGGGGAGGCAGAGTCTAGGCCTTGTATTGTTTCTGAGCCATCCTTGGTTTCGTTTTGATTACAGCAGTCAAAATCACATCTGCCTTCACTGGAATAATGTGTCTGCAGTGGTACATGCACTGTAAAGCCAGTACCTCCTTGGTAAAGCCTAGATTTTATTTAAAACAAGCTGAAAACTTGCGAAAGGATTTATTAGTTGATAACCCCAAAATTAATCAGTTTTTAAAAATTGTCTTTATCTAACAGAAGGCTGTACTTAAATGTTAGTAATTACTTACTGTAACTTCATTATTAGTTTATAATAAAAAAAAATAACCCCATAATACTCTTTGATCTAGAACCAGCTTCAATTAAGATTACTGTAATGTTAGTATAATCTATAATAAATTAATGGTTTGGTTTAAATTTTAATTGAATTTTTGATTTGTCAAAAATTACTATTTATTTTTCTTTGATATTGATTTTTAAGAAAATCATTAAAATATAAATATATTCTAGTTGGAAGTTAGATAGTGAGTGATATTATATTTCTTTATGATTATGATGTGATAATACTGTAATTTTTAAATCTCACATTAAATACGAATCCTCAAACTCTGTTGATTATATACAAAGTTTTGTTTTAAAGTTTTATAAATTGGCTACCATTATGACTGCAAAAATATGGTATTATACAGTAATATTTTAAGAATAAAAATAGGTAATTAATATGAATAATAATGATTAAATAATATAATAATGATGATAGTATATCAACAGTACAGGTTGAATTATTACATTATACTAAATTATAAATCATAATTTGATATTAGATGTTAATATTTGTAGGTGTTGTGTGTAGATCTTTCGATCCCTCAAAATGGATATTAGCTATGCTTGACCGCACATCAATTACTTATCCACGTTTGTGTTGTCGCAGCTATGGTCTCCAGGCTTCCTAGTCCAATTTCATGAATATAATTTCTCAAAGCTTCTCGACTTAATGACACCGAAGTCCCGCATATTACAATGTTTTACATCTGATTTGCTATTTCTGTTTTATAAGGCGTTCCACCAGCATTGTATTCTTCCATTCTTGTTGTAATTTTTTTCGTTCGTTAGCATCTATTTGTCAACATTGTTGGTGTGATACGAGATTTCATCAAGGCTTTTGTTCATATTTCTGTATTTGGTAACAAATTATTCATCCTTGTTGAATTTTGATTATTTATATATTACTATCCGTGTTACCACAGCAACCCATTCATCAGCAGTTTTATAATGAAAGGTTAGCACGAAGATGAAATTCACTATTACGGTAATAATAAAGGTCATAATGGGACAAAAAGCGTTGACAGGATTCATCTGATATTTTTTTTATACCAGTATTTGCAGGTCAAAGGTGGATTACGAGTTCAATATTTTTGCAGACTGAAAGATACAATTTAATAAAAAACAGTTTTTTTTGCAGGTCAGATAAGAAACGATGTTGGATCCATTTGACTTGTTTCTTTTTTCCAGATGGATCATGTACATTTTTTAGTAAATTGTTTAAATTATTTTTAAATGTTTAAGAAAATTATTGAAGAAATTATAAATATTTTTTATTTGCAGACTTAAGTCCTATCTACCGTAGACTATCAAATTTTATTTGACAGAAACATGTGACATGCCTAAATATGGTCTTGATGACATCACATCATGACCATATATAGGCACATCGTGACTATATATGGTCATACGGTACAATTTTTTTGTCAAATAAAATTTGATAGTCTGGACAGGTCTTTAATAACGTGATTATTCACACGAGACAAAATTTTACATGTAACGCATGCTACATGTTGCCTGGACTTCCCGAGATATCACTACCCAGTTACCATTCGTTTCACACGTGATGAATTAACACGTTCTTGGTGTACTATACATTGATATGTCGGCAGTACACCACAGTAAAAGATAAGCCGTCATGTGAACAAATCCATGCTGAATATTACAGGAGTTTAACAGGCGTCTGCGATGTTTGTTTTTCTTACATGGATATTACGAGGGATCCGTGCTAATATTCACAGATAGGCATTCACACGGAAACAATCTAGCAGGGGACGATAGCTAAAATTACTAGCGGGGATGCATGTAACAGCATTTTTTTCTTGTGTGAATTGAGTACAAATATAAGAATATTGAACTACCGTTCTACTACAATCTAAGTGGGATATAATAATTTGTTGAGTTTTTTTTTTTTTTATTTTATCAAAGAAGAATCATGTTAAAAGTATTTTTTTGTTTTGGTTTTTGATAGATCAAAGGAGAACCATGTAGGAATAGGTAGGCTTAACAGAAGTCTCCATCTTAACCTGCCGTCTCAGCTTTCCTTCGCCTCGGATGAGGAGGTTACCATGGATGCCAATACATTCCGTCACTTGATGCAGGACATGACAAACATGAAAACGATGCTATTCAAGTTGAAACGAGTTATTCAGGATAATAATGTAAGTTTCAGTGTGCAAAATAGACCTATATCTCTGTCATTTATATTATATCATAAGCATTTTATTATTTATCTATTTTATTATTTGTTATTTGTATATATTAAGAAATTGGCTACAGTATGTACTTCAATATTATGTTGTAATATTTGCTTGTGAAACCGCCTTCAGGAATTTGAGGACATTGAAGAAGTAGAATATGTAAATTGTTTATTCATTGTTTATGGAAACACTATACTTTATCTATACTTTATTTACAGTTATTGTAAATATAACTGTAAACTTCCTAATCCAAATTGCTCAATACAGTGGCGCTATAACATTTTTGGAACAATAATTATGGGGTTTTTTTTTGTTTTTTTTTTACATTTTAATTAATATATATAAACTTTGTACTATTTAAAAGAATTATTATTAAAAATATTTAAATGTTGGCTGTTTAGAAAATTATAATTATTATTATTATTGAAAGTATTATTATTCCTATTATCAGCAACATTATGATTATGTATATAAATGCATTTTGATTTATATTTTAAGTGCATATTATTATCTATTCTAAAATGCATAATTGCAGACTGACTTTCTGTCTGATTTATATACTCCGTTGAAATGCATTATCTAGGTAACATGGCTACTTTCTACCCTTCTGATTCCCACAACACATTGCTTCCTGGTAAGAAGTGATGTGTGTCTTAATATTTGTGACATCACATCCTACACCACATGCATTTAAGGGATCACCTCAGTGCATTATCTCTAAATTTAGCATTTAAGATTATTTCTACAGCTGGGTCTGATTTTTAAAACTGCCTCATTTGTCATCAACATACTGGCAGAATTAATTGCTGTGACTTACTATGTATCATAAATCATTTTGTGTGTACAGTAACGTTCCTAATAATTTTCATACATTGCTTCATTTAAAAAAAAATTTTTTTATATAAAACCTTTTATTAATAATAAACATATTGTAATATAACTATGCAATTCAAAATGTTGTCAGTGTTTAATGAAGAATGAATTAAAAATCATAAATTAGATGAACATTATACAACATTTAATATTCCAACATTTAAAGTCAATAGATCCCTTTGTTTTGATAATAGCAGTGACGTAGGCACTCAAACGGAGCACTCAAACACCTATTCGCTCACACGGCATTTTTATGATCCATTATCATTATTAATATACAGGTATTATTGGTTTAAAAAGAGAATTTATAATAATACCTATCCCAAAATATAATAATAATTTGAATGAATCTGCCATCAGAAAATGAAAAACAAATTTGAATGCAACAGTCTGTTTACAAGTTGTCTGACATATTCACCATTCATTACACACAGATATTAATGAATTATTACGGTATGTGATTAATATTTACAAAGTATTAGGTACCGATGCACAACTGTTTACTTTCAGCCATCAGTCAGAAATTGTTGATTACATAAATGGCGGCTTTTATAGCGGAGCTAAATTTTCCATGTTACACCGAGATTTCGTTTTTTTGCATCTAAAACAGCTGCACTCCTTCAATTTATATTGAGGCAGTGGTGATTCCAGAGATCTCCCAACAGAGGGTCTTAAAAGCCTGATGAGATTTAACCCTGTGAGTTAATTTTTTTAAACCATAGGCCTACACCAGCTTAGCCCAGTCGACTAAACTGGTGCTAGCCACTGTGTGTGCACTCAACCGCGGAGATCTTCCAGTCCCTAGTTCAATTCCCATCGCTGCTACTACTTGTATTTCAACTGGAGGGCTGAAATGCAATTTACGATAGCGCACCACCATTTTGATTACCGGTAGATGTTAGCCATTGTTCCTGTGTGCACATGAATGCGGTACACTCTTCAAAAAAGATTGGGGAATTGTCTCCCGGTGCACTGCCCAATTCACCACCAGAAGGACCCCACTTGAAAAAAATCATCGGACTAAAGTGGGTTATCAATGGCGCGATTCGCACCAAAAATACTCCTATCCTCATACAGAACCCATTATATATGTATATGGAGGTTCAGTACACTTTCTTTGCCAGTGTAGTATTTACCAAAATGTCCTCTGTCAGTCATTTGATTTTGAACAACCAGATATGAGCAGTGTATCAGATATTATTAAATGTATATACTATCATCCTGTACCTTTTATATGTACTATAATGTTTTGTTTTTTGTTACAATTTATGTCAAAATTGTTCTTCTTTGGCAAGCAAGTGAATGTTGCTGCAATATACACCACCATATCATTAATGAAATTAACCAGTTGTCTTCTTTAATTTCAGAATGCTATGACTGGAAGCTTACCGACAAGTCCAATCACCGCCTGCAACCCCTTGTTAGCTCAAGATAACATCCTAGTAGATCTAACTCAGGTGAGTAAACAGGTAAATGCACAGGTAAATCACCAGATGGGAGATTTCAACAGGTAATTGACTAACACAGCTCATTAAGGGCTCTAACAGTACTTCCTTTGACGTGATAATGAGAAAGCAACTTTCTAAGCACAATATGATTCCATATTTCCTTGATTGATTCAAAGGCATTAGATACAATAGACAGGCTATCAAATTTTATTTGACAAAAACATGTGATATGCCTAAATAAGGTCATGATGACATCACATCATGACCATATATAGGCACATCATGATTATATATGGGCATGCAACATTTGTTAGTGTGGACATAGTGTTAGGTAAAATACAATGTAAATGAATGTTATCTAATCTATAATAATTTTTTTTTGTAATTAAAGCCTAATTAATACTATGCTAATACTATTAGTTTGTTACATAGTTAATATTATCTATATTTTGTTTATAGATTCAAATAACAGCCCAATTAATACACAATACTTATACAATTATTACTAATAAGTATTGTTACATAGTTTCTTATCTATATTTTATTAACAGATTAAAATATTCCTTATTAATACACAATACTAATAGTATTATCACTAATAAAAGGTATTGTTACATAGTATCTTTATCTATATTTTCTTGATATATTCAATAATTGCCCTATTAATACACAATAATTATACTATAATTACTAATAAAAAGTATTGTTACATAGGCAATATTATCTATATTTTGTTTAGAGATAGAGTATAGATAGAGTAAATAACATTCAGTAATCTGTGACTATATGACATATGGCACGACCCGCAAAAGACTGTGTGAACACTGTTTTGTTTAGCTTTCCACGACGCAATAACACAGCTCAGCTCAACAGAGAATAGCTAGCATGCTTGGTAGATGTATATGCGCAGCGTGTGTTACATTGTTTCTGATCTGCAACGAAAGATTCAAAGTTCAAATAAAATGTTACATTGTATATAATCACGAAAATGTAAAATCAATAAAATATTTTAGTTGTAAGGAAATCCTTTTAAATTTGAGATCTACAGTAGACAACTCTTTACAGTATATACAGGCAGAACACTCCTTTCTTTTTGATTCTATACATTTGTTTACATTTTGGGTCTAGATATTTTGTTTACTTCACAATCTGGTTATCCATGTGAAATAACTACCGAGTTAAATGTGTGAACAGACACACAATGCACTGCATGAGTCATTGCATCAGACGGTATCAAAACAACAGATTTTCCTGTTTCACCCAAAAGCACAATAACCAATATAATAATAATAATAACTACAATTTAATATATTATATTGTACTTTTGATACGTGAACTTTAGATTAAAATTATACTGATAATACTCCTTAATTATGCGCAGCACTATCACATTTTATGTGACAAATTTGTGTGATGTGCTCATATGTGGATATGATGTCATAGTGTACACCCAAATATGGGCATAGCATGTTTATTTGTCACATAAAGTTTGAAAGTGTTTGCTACAGCTTTATGGATACAGTAGTACAATGTTTTTCATTTTCGTTTTTCCAAAATTTATTCTGACCCCGGTACTTTGCCATAGTCCTCTGGAGTGATTGTCATAGCATAGGGTAATAACCAACACATATGAAATGTTCTAATTTCTTCTGACATAATACTTGCACTTGTAGAATAGGTTTTCTATTCCTACCATCAAAGTATCATTAAATTCAATTTGCTGGTGGGGTTTTGCTCCTCAATCAAGTGTGCAAATGAGTTGTTAAAAAATATCGACAAACAAAGAGTAGTTGAAAATGAATCTACCAAGTGAAAGTATATTATATATTATTTTCATTTAAAACACCCAACTTTTCCTGGACTATATTTTCTTTTCTTAAAACCAAGACTGTTTTATAATTATTTATAACACATACTTTGTTTTTTTATCCTATAATTATTAAAATATTTTGTTTATAATTTTATATATTTCATTCATTCAATTTTTCTGATATCTTCTGTGCTTTATATTTCACTCTTAAAAAAATATAATTTTCTTCTTTAACATCCAATTTTTCATTTACATTACAAACCTTTTGTTAAAATGAAAGTAGGACTGTTTAAAAAAATTTAATTTTTGGTTTCTAACCCATTCTACAGTCATCTCCTATTTTTACCTATTAATGTAACATGTGATTTGTGACTGACAACCATCAATTTTGAATGTCAGTCAGCTCTTTTTATTGATGCATCACCTTGAACAAGGTATAACAATAGCTCAGAGAGCAGCTTAAGCTCAGTCGGCTAATCTGGTGGTAGCCACTGTGTGTGCGCTGAACTGTGGAGATCTCTAGGTCCCCGGTTCAATTCCCATCACTGCCTCTCCTTTTTTTTAGCTAGAGGGCTGAAATATAAGTTACAATAGCGCACCGTCTTAAGCCGTTGGTCCCGTGTGCATTTATGGCCCATGTGCACGTTAAAGAAGAACACAGTACACTCTTTGAAAAGGATTAGGGGATTGTCTCCTGGTGTACTGTCCAATCACCACCAGAAGGACCCCACTGGAAATAAGTCTTCTTGAAGACTTTCGTGGGCTATCCTTGGTGTTTACCGAATAAACATAACAACGCGGAACTTCTCTCTCCCTTGGTACTATTCATGGTACTTCTGTTTCATGTTGATAAAGTCAAATAAAGCTTTTTTTGTTTTATATCTTCCCAGTGTACTCTACTTTTCTCAAGTGAAAGTTAAATTTACTCACATTAAAATATAATTAGTTATCTTACTTTTGTGTATGCCAGCTATTCGTTGACCTACAGTATATCAGTCAATTAAGATTTAAACTTGATTGATCTTCGTGACATATTTCTTTTGATACGCCTAAGCAGTGGAATATAGACAACAAAGACTCAATTCAAACAAAGACATACAATTAATTGTTGTGGACCCAAACAATCGGAAGACCTATTTTCAATTGTTTCTGTGTGTTTGCGGTGAGATTTAGGGATAAAAGTTGTATAATCTGGAAAACTCTCAAATATTTGAAAAAGAAACGTTCATTGTCTGTCCAAATAAAATATACCTGGTATGAATAATAACATATTAAAAATTAAACTTGATACACTTTATTTCTGTGAAAACCTTGATTTTTTTTTTTTTTATTGATTTCCTTCCAAATGGATGAAGAAGTTAAGTTATGAATATGAATAAATTAATGAATAGCTGATTAAATTAAAAAGCTTTGCCTTTTTTCTCTCAATAAATTATTGAAAAGTGAATCTAATTTTGATTTTGATGATTAATTCCAAATCTGTAAAGAACAACATGCAATGCGAACAAGAATACAACCTCAAAACAGATGGGTCAATGATTGAAATATAACCCAAAATCAATAATCACGAAAGTGAGCCGTTAATTGTATGTTATTGTATTGATGGAAGATGATATCGAGTCACTTGATGCAGACTTGCTGAGCGTTATTGTGAAGCAATGGTGAAACGTTTCATCCTTCAATACAATTTCTTTAGGTGTTATATTGCGAAGTCCTTCGGTTTATAGCATCATCTAAAGGTTGTCAACCGCAATTAATTTGATCCTAATTAAAGTTTATGGTAAACAAGGGATATGTAGGGGAGTGGATCATCATGCTGGTTATTAAAAAAATACAGATTTACCTATTTTCCATGTAGCGATTGACTCCAATTTTCTGCGTACTCTTTTTTTTTTAATTTGAACTAAGAAAATAGAGAAAAACTTAATCAACCTCATTTATGTATTATTTACATAATTTTAACAGTTTTTTTAGACATGCTTTGAAGAAATTATTAATCATGGTTATTCTGTTGACATATGTTAGAAATTAGAAATATATCCGGATTCATCATTAATTTACTGATGTCACAGATCAATTTCTTGTAAGTTGGCAGAATCTATAAAATAATATGATTATCTGCAGAATTCATTTAATTAATCTTGTGATCATGTGTTGGTCGACAAGGTTGGTCAGACACCTAACATGACGTCATTCGTCAATTTATATTGCACCCTCTGGCAACAGATACAATATAGGTTTATTGCATCTGAAAACAAAATATTTAGCTTTGTTTGTTTTGCTCTCCTAATACCCAAAAGTGTTTTCTTAATTTTTATATCCTAAATTACCAAATACAACATCATGCTACTTATAAACTTTTTGGAGGCTTTAGTGCCGTCTGTAAATATTGTTAATATTTAAATAAATAAACATTGACAAATTATTTAACCTTTTCACTATAAGCTATACAGATGGTTAATCATAGATAAAAATACTGATGATAAAGAATTATATTGTTTAAATTTGTTGCAGGAAAATGTGCAACTGAAAACAGAATTAAATGCAATGAAGAAACAGATTGAAGAGACGGACAAGACGGTTACTAGGCTACATGAAGAACTCGTAAGAGGAGTATTTAAGTTCTTATTGTTATTGTATAAATTGTTTTAGTGTTATTGTTTGTATTATACTATAATATCATTTTATATTAATTTGAGTAAGAACCAAATGTGATGATTTCCTCTCGAGACGCGTACACAGATCTGAAAGAAATATATCGTAGCGTCATTCTTTTAAACGCCTTACCGTTATTGACATTTTTTGAGTTCCCTTTTATGTTAGGTAAAATATCGTAAAGAAACAATTTTGCATATCTACAAAATATTAGACAAGGACTTGTAGCACTGCAAAAGCAACACATGCATGAGCATTCATTAATTCAAATTATGTTAGAATAGTACAATGAAAATATTCAGTATATATATATAATTGTTGAAGGTAAGTGGAACTTACCATTTCAGTGGTTGTGGCTGATGCAAAGGGGTACTGTATGTTCACTAAGTATAACGTAATAAAATGTAATATAAAGAGGTCATATTAATCACTAAAATAAGTCAATATGTGACGAATATAGAATGTTTACATCTATCACAACATAATAGCATGTACTGTATAATCCCTGTCTCTTATACACATCACAGATCAATTTCTTTTAAGTTGGCAGAATCTATAAAATAATATGATTATCTGCAGAATTCATTTAATTAATCTTGTGATCATGTGTTGGTCGACAAGGTTGGTCAGACACCTAACATGACGTCATTCATCAATTTATATTGCACCCTCTGGCAACAGATACAATATAGGTTTATTGCATCTGAAAACAAAATATTTAGCTTTGTTTGTTTTGCTCTCCTAATATCCAAAAGTGTTTTCTTAATTTTTATATCCTAAATTACCAAATACAACATCATGCTACTTATAAACTTTTTGGAGGCTTTAGTGCCGTCTGTAAATATTGTTAATATTTAAATAAATAAACATTGACAAATTATTTAACCTTTTCACTATAAGCTATACAGATGGTTAATCATAGATAATGAAGAAAGTGGTTATTGAAGTAAGATAAATAAGAAGTCTTTAACTCAATCAATATTCAAGGATGAGTTCATATACACAAATATACAATGATATGAATCAAATTATATTGGAATGCATCTTGACCTTTTGACCTAGGGATCAGTACATAACAGAGGGCTTTCTTTTTGTTTGTTAAAGTTGGTTTTATCCTGGAAGTGTGTGTTGCTGTTGGTGGAATAAGTATAGAAATCATTGAATGGTTGAATAATTAATAAATCAACATAATTAAATAAAATGAAAGGATGTATTCAACACAAATAAAAAAGTATATATATATATATATATATATATATATAATTCTGAATATATTACTTTTGTATTTATATTTTTATTTGAACTATTGTTTTAAAGCCCAGAATGTCATCTGATATTTAGGGGCCTTTTCTGTCCACTCACATTTTTACTATTAACCATTGTTTGAAAATAAAAATACATTCAACAATAATTATACAAAATAGTTACTGTACACAACAAGGGATAAGCATTTAAAAAAATAAAATTAAAATACTGATGATAAAGAATTATATTGTTTAAATTTGTTGCAGGAAAATGTGCAACTGAAAACAGAATTAAATGCAATGAAGAAACAGATTGAAGAGACGGACAAGACGGTTACTAGGCTACATGAAGAACTCGTAAGAGGAGTATTTAAGTTCTTATTGTTATTGTATAAATTGTTTTAGTGTTATTGTTTGTATTATACTATAATATCATTTTATATTAATTTGAGTAAGAACCAAATGTGATGATTTCCTCTCGAGACGCGTACACAGATCTGAAAGAAATATATCGTAGCGTCATTCTTTTAAACGCCTTACCGTTATTGACATTTTTTGAGTTCCCTTTTATGTTAGGTAAAATATCGTAAAGAAATAATTTTGCATATCTACAAAATATTAGACAAGGACTTGTAGCACTGCAAAAGCAACACATGCATGAGCATTCATTAATTCAAATTATGTTAGAATAGTACAATGAAAATATTCAGTATATATATATAATTGTTGAAGGTAAGTGGAACTTACCATTTCAGTGGTTGTGGCTGATGCAAAGGGGTACTGTATGTTCACTAAGTATAACGTAATAAAATGTAATATAAAGAGGTCATATTAATCACTAAAATAAGTCAATATGTGACGAATATAGAATGTTTACATCTATCACAACATAATAGCATGTACTGTATAATCCAGTTTTTTTCTGCATTCTTTATAAGTAGGCTATCTTGCCTGCTTTTCTCAATATTATAAACCAAATTATTGGCTCACAGTTCTTCATTTAAAAGGTAGTTTGTCTTTCATTTACAAAGGTTTTTCTACAATTATTGTTTAAGACCTATTAGTTTTTTCTGTATTCTTTATCAGTAGGCTATCTTGCCTGCTTTTCTCGATATTCTAAACCAAATTATTGGCTCACTTTCTTTATTTAACATGTAATTTGTCTTTTATTTGTAAAGGTTTTTCTAATTTAGAATATTATAATCTTGTATATATGGCAGTATTTGGCCGACTGGGCTTGAGCGACTGGGCTTGCACTACATTGTACAGACAGATGGCTAATGAGAGCCCAATATAATCGACTGTGATTGGAAGCCATAATAGTAAAGCCATCATTATTAATCCTTGCATAATTAATGATATGTTCCTGACTTACTATACTGAAAGGAAGATATTAAAAGCTATGTAACTACCATAGCTTTATATCTTAAAGGATAGAGTTCTGACAAATAATATAAGCAGTGGCGGCACTAGGATTTCCCCAATGGGAAGGGGGGGTACTCATAAGGGTGGGTGGTTTTGGCTGATTCTCCCGATGAGAGCAAAGTGGGAATGGTCGGACGTCGCTCAAAATCTTTCAAGTGTTCCAGGGAGCGAATCCCCCAAAAGTATGATAATTTAGGGATTTTAAAGGCTTATTTAATCATTTTTAAAGTCTATTTAATTATGTAGAAAATACTACATATAATTTTTTTTCCTCCCTGACGATTTGTGGTTTTTCTCCCCAACGGTGGGGTGGGGGGAATTCTTCCAAATTGGGGGATAGCCTCGTAGCTCCATCACTGAATATAGGTCTATAGCTCTAGGAAAATTCTATTGTTTATAGACAAAAATGATGGACTTAAAGTACTTAATACAAATTGTTATCTTCTAAATCAAAATATATACTAGCTGAGTTGTGTTTGTTAATAACTACAGTATTCTGCACTATACATATTTCATCAACAAATCGCTGAATATATGCCTCTATGAAAAGTCACTTTACACTGCCTATTAATCTCAAAATATACAAGTCCTCATTTACCGTTCTCTTCATCCTGTTCACCGTACTATTTCAGAAGTAAGCCACTCTTCGTCGGCTATAAAATATGCATGTTAATGCGAATGGACGGTGCTTTGAGTATGATAGCAGACATAGTGTCGTCAGGACAATGTATTATGCAAATTTGAAACACTATCTCATTACTTAAATCAAAGGAAAACTGGAGTAATTAGTTCTTGAACTTGTTAGAGGCTCTCCATCATTCACTTAGCTGTCATTAATCATTTCTGTACTTGGGAAGCAAAAAACAATAATAAGATCTTAAGTTTTTCTTAAGTTTACTTGCCGAGGTCCACATCAGCCCCGCTATGTTGAGCGATTGGGGCTTTGGTTTCATTTCAAGCATTCTGACTTACGTTTGGGAAAGGGGGTTGAATTCTACACTGTTCACTTATATTTCTAGCTGTCTCTGTCAATCCAGGAGTAGAAAGCTGTATCAAATATTGGTTGCAAATGATTCAGAATAAAATTTGTTGGTGTTAAATTATTTGTGGGTTAGGAATCCTAACCCACACAGAATGAAGGAGGTTATGCATTGTAAATTTATGTACATGCATCCACTGAACAAGATGCTTATGAATGAACAAGCACCATGAATACTTAATGTACAAACTACCTGTGCTATACTGAATAATAACATATCCCATTAATAATAATATTTGAAAGGTTAGTGTGTAGGTTCTTCTCTTTTTTTTTAATAGGCTGAATTGTAATGTACACAGGGCCAGCAATCTTAAAGTTTCTCCCAAATATAATCCATGAAAATTAATAACAATAATGTTATTTTTTATGTTCTATTCAGCTGGAATTCCAATCATTACAGAACGATGTGGTCAAAATTCCTGTCACCAAGCATGACGTCGGGGTTCAAGCTGACCTTCCTATCATTGTAAGTCACTGTACCCTGTATTTTTTTCGCACACAATCTGTTAAGTATTGCAATACTAATTTGTCACTATTTTTTGTTCGTTTTTTTAGAAGGGTGAAATATGTATTATTCACATAGATATCGTAGAAACTGTGTTTTGCTGTTATACTGGGCACCATATAGCACTTTATATGTTGCAGTACTGTATGTACCGGTAACTTATGCAACATTGTTAGTAATAGGCCCTTTCTAAAAGTGATAAATGTGAGGTATGATAAAAGGGAACTTTAGCCTTTATGCAGAGTTTTATCATTTAAAGAAGAAAAGACTATTTGCATTAATAAATGTTCTCTTTATTGTTTTAGGATGAGGGAAGAGAGTACATTTCCGGTGCAACTTTTCCCTGATATACCACATGCATGATTCATAATCATTATTATTTAAATCAGATCCGTTTTTACCATTTTACAAAAAAAAAAACTACAGTATATCATTTTTACTTTTTAAACATGGAATAGTAACTGCATAAGGAGTTGAAAAACATGTGCTAATATGTGTATGCATCTAAATGATATTTGAAACACATACAACCACAAATTTTGGTCAAGGACCCTATTCTAGAACCTCCCTCACCCTTCAGTGCGCTGTTCTCATAACCCAGGCCTACTCTTGATTATTTTATGGTAAATTATACTTGGTTTTAAAAAAAAATATAATTTGCCCAATAATATAAAGCCAAATGTATAATTTTTTACTATTTCAGCAGAAAATATTTATTCCAGCTTACTATACTAACATGGGCTATTAATAATAAGTAATTAAATGTTGTAAATACATATCAACTACAAATAATTATTGAGGCCCTGCATTTGAAGTCCTCTGGTTCGCTGACGTCATGGCCCTGTCCTATTACTTATCTATTTTTTAGGGTGGAATTGTGTCTGGTATGTTTTAGAATACTGTAGTATTCTTAACCTGATTAATACAAGGCCATATCAATCTGTATTATGAGTATGATTAACCTGATAAAAGTTCAATTACCAGTAATGAAAAAGAAAAATGCTTTTGTCCATATTAAAAAAGATAGTGAGTGAAATACCCTTAGGCTTTCGTTTACAAAGATGACTATGTCACACAGTTGTAGCTAGGCCTTGGCCAAACCTAGGCATGCAAATATACAGTACTCCAATTTCAGAACCGATTGGATTTCTGTAGCCTCTGCTGCTTCTATGGTTTTTTTTTTATTTTGATAGAAAAAAATGTAACCGATCATTTTATGTCTAGATGTAGTTGTCTGCTCCTTCAGGTGGTAATTAGATACTTCAGAATAAACTATGTTCTTATTGCTTGCTAAAACATGAACCACTTGCAATTATTTTAGAATACAGGTTACATCCTCCATTTTGTTTTATTTTTTTCTTTAATCTTAAGCAGGTTTCTTCTATTTCAATAGCATAATGATATAAAGGTTGTTTTTAATTGGTACCTTGTCACATGACCTCTCTTTCCATCAGTTGAGATCAGTGATTGGTCAATTCATATTTCATTTTTCGTAGTTATATCTTTGTCCTTGGCCACTATTCTAATGCATTCCTTTGTGCTCATTATCATCAGATCGAATAATTTTTTATTCATATTAAATGAGGTATTTTGTTAGAAAGCATATAATATATGTTGACAAGTTGACTTATTTTTAATTGTTTTATTATCATCATTTTTAATTATTTATTTGCTTTTTGTTTAAAAAATTATTTTTACTACATCTAATCTCTATCCTTTTTATTTTCATTCATCATTGCTCCTATTATTTTATGAGTTGCAATAATTTTTCTATCATTCTTTTATGCTATATCTCATTCCCTTGTGTTTGAAAACTATAGATGTGTTTATTTTATCCATATTAAAAAAATTTAAAACACTTTCATTTACTTTTGATAATGTGAAAACAATTGGGCTAATAAAAAGTAAAAATCCATTCCTAGGGATATATTTTGAACCTTCCTCCTATCCTGTCCCTCTTGAAGATTTATGGATCTTTGTCCATCTCTAATGCAACATTACAATACTGTTTGTGTATAGTCGTCTAGTGTAATATATAGCTGTATTCATCATAGTCAATTGTAAATAGAAAAAGTTAAGGATGTTTACATGTTCAAGTAACAGAAGGATGAACTTGGATTCAGCAGTGTGTGAGATAGCCTACTTATAAGGAAACTTGTATACTGTTGATAAGCTATCCTTCATCATGATCCAAATCCACAAAGGCATTTCAAAGCAATCTTGGATGTTAACTGTGGTACCACCCAAAGGAAATGCGTAGTCATTATTTTTATTGATATTATAATTATTATGATAATCACTAAAATCCATGGAAGTATATTAGCATGGCCCTACAGCTTACAGTAGTTAGAGAGAGCAGTCAAATGGTAATCAAGGATATTTGACTGAAATCTCAATGGAAAATACATCTAGATCTCAAAATTATATTTGTCCCATTAAAATCGTGCTATTGTATATTATTTTCACTACATATTATAAACCTATATAGAGTTTTTTTTTAATGGTTTTCTTAAACTCATCATTGAACATCTAATGTTTAATGTAGATATTAGGCCAAATATTTAAAACAAATATATTTTAAAATTTTTGTTTATATATATATATATATATATATATATAAACACTCTTGTATTTTTTCCATTTCTATTGTTTTATGTAAATTATGCATTTTACTTTGAATATCAATGCACCAGCAAACAACCCAAAGGGTGATATTGGCATAAAAATAAAAAGCCTCCATAATAAAATTAATGATTATCCTATTTTTTTACTCATCTGGGAAATTCCATCATGAATTTTCTGTTAGAAATTTACCATCTCGTGTATATCTTACTGTCACGTCTCTACATCCTACAAGCTTTATTAATTTTAGCGCAATGTTATAAATATCAATAAATCAAACTTGACAGAATTTCTGATATTTATTTCATGTCGCATAAAGCCTTTCCAAAGACTTTATTTTTATTTTACCTTAATAGCCAGCAGTGGTAGTGCCATCAAGATTAATTTATATTTGATCAGATGTTTTTCGTCTAATTTTATTATCATAGACCTTTCTCATGTAACAATACAGAAAATGTTGAGGTTTTTTTTATTCTAGTTAGATTATATCAATATTTTTATATAGTTTTTATTTATCTGTTTTCCTGTATATAATTAAATTATTTGCGTTTACATTTAATAATAATGTAAACGCAAATAATTTAATTATATACGTCTACATTTAATAATAATGTGAAGTATTTAAGTAGTATTTTAAGGAAGTAACTCCTTGCCGGCCTTGAGGCTCATAAGTGTTGGAGCTTATCCCTAGTTTCTGTAGCGTGAAGCAAATGAGATTGTGTTATTCATTCTGGGTGGGATACTAGTCCACCACAGGTTTACTCCCAGCAATTTTCTGGTACCTATTGATGCAACTGGGTGATAAAGCGCCTTGCCACAAGGACACAAGCGAAATGCACAGCGAAGGATTGAAACCCCGACCTCGAGGTTGGGAAACCAGACCATTCCCACTGCGCCAAATCTCTTCCACCATACTTAAGCCTATCTTGTACCTTTATTAATTTGAAAACCATTTTTTGTCGAAATATTTGCATTGTTAATTACCCCGAGTGATTGGATTCACTTCACACACTTCTCATGAGCCTCTGTGGCCCACCATCAATATTGAACGTCATGCAAAAGTGCAAACTCCTTCAGTTTGGGCAGTATGCCAAGGCAAATGCCCGTAATGCAGTGCAATTCAATATACATCAGACCAGTATAATGCACTTATATCAGACCCTTATATTCAATTAGATCCTTCTATGTAAATCCTATGTATTACAGGGTGGCGAGAGACAGACAAATGCTTGCCATCTTGCTTCTATAACGCAAGTGAAACAGACCATGTTAGATTTCAACTCTGATTCAAAGGTTGAAATCTGTAATCACAACCACCGTCCCAACCAACCCCTTATAATTTTCTTGTTCTATCTCTGTTTGCTGACTTAAAATAATATATTCCAAATCAGACAGACCAAGTAGGGCCTCATCATCATAAAATTATAACATTTCTGAATTTATTTTGTAATGAAATAAGCTGGTCCATGCAGCTTTTATACACGTTATCCCTTGGAAACCATTTTTTCTCTCTTATTTGTTTAATCATTTCCGTTTTTCCAAACAAACTTAATCAAATACCTTTGGTTCATAAGATAATTGCCTTCCAGTTTGAAGATTTTTTTTAAAGACTAACATAATGAGACAAGTTTATTTCCGTTCAATTAAACAGCAACGTATTATTCCTTAGCAGGATGGAAAGTACATTATAACATGATTAAATTACAATTCAAATATTAAAGAAACAAATATTTTAAACATAACTTTTGTTATCTCTCCATGGCATGAATTACTAAAACCTATATGCAAGATATCTTTTTAACACACGTGGTAATGAAATACAGTTTCCTCTCTGTCTGAAACAACAAAGGCAGTAAAAAAAAAAATGCAACAAAGAATAATCAAACAAAGGCTTACCATGTTGTTATAACTTATAAGCAGCTAGATGAAGCTTCTTCTAACCTATGATGCTCTAATCTCCATTAATTATGTGTACGCTTATAATAATTATAGTTGTAGATTTCATTTTTGTTTCCATTCATTAATGATTTCTATTTATTTTTATGTCCGTTATCATTAATTTTTTTTTAAATATCAGAAAATAAATATTTATATATTTTTAATATATTTTTATTTTTTAAGTTTATATTTTAATTTGTATTTTCAGTTCATTTACCTCATCCTCATTTGTAATAATACGTATTATTTAGAAGTAGATAATTTTTTTAAAGTATTGATAAATTATGTTTAGATACTTGTTTCTATTAGCATAGAATATCCTATAGACATTATGTTACTGTATACGTATTTGAAGTTGGAAATAAGACAAATTTATATTAACTAATTCTTGACCAAATTAGTAATTCATTTACTATTTGTATCAATATTTTATGAATTATTTTGTTTTTATTGAAATATGCTATGTATGTGGCCCATAAGATACACATTAATTCTTTACATTGAGAGGGGTCATTGACCTGAAATGACCCATAGAATGCTTGCATGTTTAATAATATTAAATGTTGGATTTTGTCGTCGTAGAATAATGTATGAATTTGTGCTATTTATGGAAGCTATCTATTGACTGAATTTGCTGTGATTATCTTTGCTTGCTTGTGTTGCACAGCTCAATGCTTCATTCTTTTGCTCTCTCCATCTATTACACAGTGTTATCTTTGTTCTACATGTATCTCTTCATTTTCTCGTCTAGTCCTACAAAGTCTTTAAACCGTCATATATTCCACGGCCGAGAAAGTTTCGGACACGCTCAGAAGTGAGGTAAAGAATGATTGAGCATGTTGGAAAATGATTACTTTAGTCTGTATATGATTTAGGTTATGAAGTAGGCTATTACAACCTGTGCATGGTTTTTGGTTCTTTCTAAATTAAAGAACCATCAGATTTCTAAATTTAGGTATTTTTATTCACATTTACTCACATCAGAACCTTTATAGAAAATTAATTTCATTTCAATTTTACAAATCATTTACATCCCACCTTGAATTTTGAATGAACATTTATAGTAATGCATTTTTATAAAGCACATTCCACAAGCAAAATTTAAATTAGAAAAAAAGAATTATAAATTACATGTTACTAGAATAGATAAGATGTGATCTAAGTTCAATAATAAAAAAAAAATAAGTTTCTTTAAAGTGAGTTAAAAAATTAGTAATTCTTTAAAATGTAACCTGTAATAAAATCTATTTAATTCCTCATGTGCTACACTCCCACACATAAGTAATAATGCAGGGCATGGAATGCTAATTTATTCAGTGCACATGTGTATATTATGCAAATTAGCTGCAAAGCAACTTCAGCTATTAATACTACATTATGGCATGACGTGATTCCAAGATGAGCCCATTCGTCATCTTACAGTAGGTGTATCTGAAGAAGACATGCTCTCAAAACGTGATATTATCACACATGATGCATGTACCAACCATTGAGAGGAGCATTTTCTGTGTGAAGATAGTAACATTGCCTATGTAAGTTGGCTTTACTTCCTGATCATGTTTTGCATGATAACAATTTCTCAAAAATGCATAAAATATTTGACTGGAACATGCAAAAATGTATATCTTTGTATGCACCATGTGTACACACATTCGTCTACAACATAATTAACATATGTGTGCTCACGTATTGATCGCAAACTGCACACTATGTTTTTTTTTTCCACTCTGAGATTATTACACATGTGCACACGTTATTTCTATCCCTTCCAGATGGAGGTATAACTTCCATGACACAACACATTACAATATACTTAATACCCACTTAATTGGGAAATTACTCATTAGCTGGCTACGAAAACTCACCCAGCATAGATTTTTTTCTAGGGTCATTTCTCCTATGACTATTAGCATAACATCATGTGTCTGCATATCAGGTACCACAATAACAGACAGACATGTAAACACATATGCTTAAAGGTATACTGTACTGTCTGGAAAGAAGTCAAAGAAAATTAAATTATAATTTAAATTGCTCATTTGAATGGATCAAATAAGTCATCAACTTCCTTCAATGAGACATAAGAAAGCAATTCGGTTTTTGCTGACTGAAGACTTTTTACACAAAAAAAAATAATTAAAATGGATTAAATGACAATGTAAGCGAACTGTATAATTAATTCAAACACTATAGGAAGGTATTATTTATTTTTGTCCTTTAATTTGATAATAATAAAAAAAAAAAGAATGACGATAAAAATATTGACTGCAGATGTGGCCTTCAGAAAGACATAATAATTAGTGAAAATTTTATATTTTGTATCAATTAATACCAGCTCTACGTCCATACCAGTTGCAGAGGCAGGGGGATGAAACAGCCCCCACCCCCATCCCCACCTAACGAGGCAAGACATTTCTGCCCTGTCAACCTCAACTTGTACCCAAAAAGAAAATGTTTAACAAAATTCTTTAGACGCATTATACAGTACAATCTGAAATATTTGTGAAGAACCTAAAAAAATAACCAAAATTGCCCAGTTTTTGTAGGCATTAGGATCTTAATGCCCTGGACCCCTGTTGTGTCAGCCGGTTATTGTCATACCCGCTGATTGTGTTTTACTGTATCTAGAGACAAACACGGCAACACACATACCAATTGTAAATAATATATTTGTGCGACACACTGTTTCAAGGTTTTTATATCACTGATGATTAAATAAAATAACCAATTTAGATAAACATTTGTATAATGCATTTCTCATTAGGAAAATGTGCCTTTATACTACCCTAACAAGTTGGATGACAGTAGAAACATATTAATTATTCAAAATAAAAATTAGCAGTTTTTAATCATTAAATGATTACTACTCACTTTTAACATTTTTATGTATAAAATGTAACATTAATAATAAATATTAATAATAATAATAATAAATAATTATAATAACATCAATAAACACATACCTATAACATTATGACAAATATCAGTTAGTTGCTGTGACCTGACTAAATTATATGAACCATGAATGAAGCTTCCCTTATTTTGAATTCATCATACTGCACCTAATCCATAAATATAATATTTGTAGGAAATATTTAATTTATAAGGAGTTTTTTTGTAATCTAGAGTACTGTACCTAGTTTGCTGAAAATATAATTTACTTCTTGTTAATATTTAAAAATTGTTTAGTCATCTAAATGTAGTTTTAAAACGTTTTTTATGTTAGCATAGTAATTTTATTTTAGTGGAAATCTCTCAAGTTTACATCATAATATGCATAAGAATACATGTCAACCAGTCAGAGATAGAGATCACACAGGATCTTTACACTTTTAATGAGTATAGATTATGAGTGGGCTCAAAAGTATTCATGATGTGAGATTGTCAATTTACTGACACATTTATGACTTACAATATATTACTCTGCAAGAAATTTATTTTCAGCAAATTAGGTATAAATTTTAATTTGTTTATTTTGTGTGCTGTCATTATTTAATGTTGTGCTGTGTTTAGAAGCAAAAAAAAAATATTACATTATATAGCGTGCCTGATTTATGATTTTTCTTTTTCGTTTTTCTTTCCTTTGATATTTCCACCGATAAAGTCGTATTAAAGCTGCGTTTGAAGAGTATATGCGGATAAACGGCAGAAAGGTATTCCTAACCTCCGACCTGTAATTTCTTTTCAGCTGTCGACTGAATGCTTCACACATCATGCCTATTTGATATGTGTACTCAGCACGCGAGTATTTTGCACGCGATTATTTTGCACACAAGTATTTTGCATGCCAGTGTGCGGCACGTCTGTATTTTAGTTGTAGTATTTCATGCACTATTTTTTTTTCTTCTAAGATTCATTCTCTCTTACCTCAGTAGACTTTTTAAATTATATTTTTAAAGAGCTTTGTTTGTGTTTTAATAGTCATGACAGTATAACTTCAACAATTTAAACTTGGGTGTGTAGAAATTATGGGGTTTATCGATAAGTTTGATATAAGTAAGAAACAAAAGTTGTGATACAAGCCATTGCAACTAACTTTATTTGTTCATCCTCAGGAATAAATAAATATTATATGTAGAATAATATTAATAATAATTAATTAAAACAGTTAGAATATAGTTACTTAATACATTAATAATAATAATGATAATACTGTAGTATATTAAAATTTGTTTATGCCATAAAATTAAAATTTTGTCTAAAGTTTATGTATAATTTAGTTAAACTAATTAGTGTATGCAGGTTTGATGTTTAGAAAAAAAAAACACAAAAAGAAAACATGTGAGTAATAGGCATCATGTTTGCAAGATATAAACAATATAAATGCATTCTTGTTTTGATAAATTGTAGCATTGAATGTATTTGTGCTTGCACAATACACTATGATGACATGAAATTCTTAAGAATATTTTTTTACATAGGTAGATACCGATGCTCACAGTAAATTTGTAATGCACTCGCATTTTGTTGGCTCTCAAAGCCTGTCATGGACCTTTTAACACCGATCTGTATGTGATCAACACTTCATTGAATTTCTTATTATTTGTGCTTATTCTTACAATAGATAATTTATTTGAGAGGAGTCTATTTATGTTCGCATTTTTTTAGTTTGTGTCACAAAAATTTGTATGGGTTATTCCATTGTCAATATAGGTGCTTAAATTGGGAGGGATTATTAAATAAGGTTTTTGTATTTTAGTAGAAACATTTTATCACAATATAAATTGTATCAAATGATCTAAAACCTGTAGATAAATTTAAAATTAAAAAATCGCAAGAATACTAGGCGAAAACAAACTTTATTAAATAAGATTCCCAGGTGATGGCTTATGATGGTGCTGACTTCAAAGAAGCCTGTAAAACCACCAAAAAATGTGATAAAAAAATACGTCAAAATTGGTAGAAAAATAGAAAAACTCCAATAATGTGTTATCAGAAATAATCGCGTCCTAAATGTGAAACCTTGCCAGTAACAATATATTTATAATATTTTTTATGCAATATTTAGTGCAGATCATCAAGCTGTTAATTCTAGAACACCTGATGACCAATATGTTTTGAAAATCCGTATTTCAAAATCCTTTTATTTGTCATTTATGTAGGAAATTACAATTTCCTATTTAAAACATTAAAAGAAATATGGATATAAATTAATTACCTGATATCCAAAGAAAAACATATTGATTTTTATACTTCAAACTAGTATAGTAATAATAACAAATCCAAATGTCTATGTAAAGACTACTGGAATATTAATGCATCTTCTGAGGAAAATATTTTCTAGTTCAAGCTCTGTCCTTTTTTTTTTAACTTTCTGAAGGGAGGGCTGGTTTGGTCCCTTCCTCTAAATCTGGCACTGATTCTGTGTAGTTCATTGAATATTTGAGGGTTTTAAGGTGTACAGTACTATACCATACCATATCATAAGAGAACAGAGCTATGTATTTTAGAATAGCCGCCTTCTCTAGATTTCGGTGTATGGCAGACATATGATTATACGAATTGGATGAATAACTATGTAAAGTTATTTTATATACCGTAGTAACTAAACAAGGTTCAATATCAGATGCAACACTATTATAGAACATGGCACACAACATATTTTCACAAAATAGCATTATTAAACATAATAATAATAATATTTATTTAGCTTCGAAGCTGGAAGTGAGAGGCTAGTTTGTGGCCAAACAGTTGCCCATGTCCCTGGGCAAGGCACCTAAATCTGCATTGCTTCCCTCCACCCATGAGTTTAGTGAGTGCCTAGTTGAATAGTACTATGCAATGCTGCGTTTAGAATTATCCGCAAGAGGAAGGTGGGGAGGGAGAAGAAATATAGAATTTGGACGGTGCTGCCTAGGAGACTGATAATTTTTTTTTCTGAACAATTGAAGTGTCAGTGAAGTAATAATGTTCAAATCGTGCAAACTCTACAACAAATTCCATTCTATAAGCCTAGAGAGCTTCACAAGATCCTTTGATTGAAAAATCACTCTCTGTTGTACCAGCAGAGTAAGAATGAATTAACCACTGTTTACATTGAAAACATCACAGATTTGCGATAGTCGTATTGCAGTAATTTCCGCACCATCGATCATATAGAATATATCAGTGAATATGTACATACTGTAGTAGACTGCCTGAAGAACAACATTAATATGGTGTAACAATATTGTACATAATCAGTTCTATATTGAAACCTACAGTACGTTTTAGTGAGTGATTATAAAAAAAACATTAATATTTGTAGTGCTTGTACTAAATTTGAATAAAAATTAGGAAAGACAAAATACTTTTTATCACCAATAATACATTGCATATAGGCCTACTATAATACTCTTACTATTTTCATTGCATAGACCCTTAAATTGGCTGCTAATCCATTTATATGAATGTCATAGTAAAAAGTCTGCAAATAAGCAATACCTAATTTGTTTTGAGTGCCTCAGTGGAAGTTGTTAACTTATTTGTTCCTTCCATAATGGGCAATTCAATGTTTCAATTTAATGTTTGAGGTTTTTCCAAGGTTTACCACATGGGTAATATCAGCAAAGATATACTGCCATGAATAAAATATAATATAACCTAAAATTAAATTGAAATTGAAATTGTTCATTTAATAGTACCTGAGACAACTATGTAAATATATATAAAACTTCAAGGCTGCATCTGCAAACATACTAAAACTCTGGAGAGGCGTCTAGTGTTGCCAAAAGTAGTTTTATTTAGTACACAAATGTTTCCAGGTATCGCTCTTCACCAGATAAATATGTATTTGTATAGTTGTCTCAAAAAAGAACCACATAAATTACCAACATTAAATAAGTTACAAGTTAAAATGTATAAACAGTTTCAATGATTTATGGACATTTACTACAAAAGTTTTTATTTTTGTGGCCAAAAATTAAATTTACTGT